CACACACACACACACACACACACACACACACACACACACACACACACAGAATTTAAGGTCTGGTATCCTTAAAGGGAAGAAAACCCAAACGCCAAATACCCACTTGTTCCTTTAAATTCAGTGGATGTGCTTCCCTTCTTCATGAATGGAACCCAAGCAACATCCATTTGACCCTTGAACACCATGGGATTGACTGCGCAGGTCCACTTACATGTGAATGTTTTTGATAAATACAAAACAGTACTACAAGCGTATTTCCCTTCCTTATGGTTTTCTTTTCTTCAGCTTCCTTTATTATAAGAATAGAGTATATAATACCTATAACATACAAAATATGTGTTCATTGGCTATTTGTTATTGGTAAGGCTTCCTTCTGGCCAACAGTCTACTAGTAGTTGTGGGGGAGTAAAAAATTACACGCAGATTTCCCCCTGCACACGGGACTGGGGGGCAGTGTTCCTAACCCCCATGTTGTTTAGGGACAACTGTATATATTCTTTGAGAGAGACATACAGAGTTTGCAAATGACATTATAGTCAAAAGGCGCCATGAAAACAAAGATGCAGTACCTAACCTTCCCACTTAAAATAAGCCTTTGTTCACTGCCGCAAGGGCATGCCCTGTGGTGTTAACCCAGGGGTGCTCATCTCTGCCTCTTGCCACTTGCTAGATCCTTCCAAGGTGTGTAACAACCTCTCCCTTTGCATTCTATCCTCAGAAAGCCCAAAATGGAAGAGAAGGCTCAGGGCAGGGGGCCAACCTTCACCAGGCACTTTTCACCCTGCAATCCTGCCTCATAAATGAAGTCTATTACCATGCAAAGTCCTCATAATTGGGCACAGTTAACAAGCAGAGGTCTTCGCATGTTTAAATGACTGACAACACATAGCCTTCTTATTAAGCAAGCAGACATTAAGTAAGAGCCCAAGCATTACGTTTCAACATCATCAAATGAGAAGAGGCCGTGACTGGTCCTTCAATTGAGTCATCAGGCTTCCCTGCCTTGTCTGATGGTTACGATTTGGGCCTTTCCACACTGTCGCTGAATACTTTTGAGGCCAATGTGGCTCACATTCAATGACTATACACACCAGCTTCCCTAAAGCCCCCAGACTCATTTGAGAACATTATCTTTTGAAAGCTGGACTCTGTCTAGACAAGTAAGTGCTAATCCGTGACAAGACTGCTTATCGGGATACACCTACCTGGACCAAATTAATCCACTTATCGTCGGGGCTGATGGTTCATTGCAGAGCAAGTCACTGTGTGCTCCTGAGACTCAGGGCTGGTTATAATGAATCCACTTAGCTAAAACTTAAGGAAAGCTCACTGGGAGAAGAGAGGGGGAAAAAAATCACATGGAAAAACATGTGACTGGGGTAACAATGGACTAGACGAGGCAAAACCCAGGCCCAGTATTTGGAAAGTGTCTTTTAGGCACGAAAGTGTCAGCGCAGTAACAATGAGTAACTATCCACACAAGCTGACGGAGGTAGGGCAGCTGCCCGGCCATCCCGAAAGGCCTCCTGGCCATAGCTCTTGTCAGCCCAGTTGGCAGCAATGCTGGGGACCCGAGGAGAGTGAGGGGCATGGTGGGAGCTCTGCCCCGGGCATCTCCATCAGAGCTTCTGGAAAGGGGTCGTCTCTTAGTGCAGTAAGCAGAGTGCCTCTGAGAGAGAGCTGATATGGGCAGGGGGGTAACTGTCAGACAAGCCTCACCAGAGCTGGACTCTGAGCTCGCTGCTGTCCCTGCTGATCAGGGGGTCAGGCAGGGTCATCCCAGGGTCCAGCTGGGCCCGCTGGTCAAGGGCAATCCCCTTAAGGGGTGACCTGAAGCAGCGGCTTGACTCAAAAGCCAATGTCAGGCAGTGGGCCCCGCAGGGGACAGCATGTGACTCTGACAGGACCAGCAAGCGATGAGGAAGGTGGCCCCTGGCCTTAGCCTCAGTGTCGACAAGGAAGTAAGTTTGGATCAATGCTCTCTTCCCTTGGCTGCCCATTGGAACCCCTGGGGCCCATTAAAAATCTCTGGGAGCAAAACACAAGCTTTGAGAGCTAGAAGGAACCTGGACCATCTGGGCCAACCAACGCTATCCTCACAAAAAGGTAATTTCCTCCGTGGCTCCAGCTCTCCCCATGTAAGGAGCCCCCTTCCTGGCTATAAAACGGGCCACTGGAGGGCACAGTTATGCCTTCACAGGTGTGAAGGAAGTAAGGGCATCATGGATACCTCAGTTACACAGGTGATGGGCAAGCTGAGGTCATGGCTTAAATCTGCTCAGTTATTATGACCTCAAAAAAGAAAAACACAACCACCACAAAATAACCTATAACTAATATAGTCATAAGACATGCACATACTTGTACTTTATTTGCTTTTTTACCAATGTCTTTTACCCGCTGACCATCTCCCTCAGACAAAACTGAACCACACTAGACGGTGGGCTGACTCAAGTGAGGGGCCATGCTTTCCTCACTTGTTTGGCCTAGGGACAGAGCATATTTTAGCAAACAGTAGATACTCAATTAAGGCTGGCTGAATAAAATGATGAACTCCATCATCAGGCAGGGGGGTTCTCATGGACTTTTCCCAAAAAGCACCTGATTTTCACTCAGTGCTTTTCTATACACAGTTATCAGTGGGCTCTCTCTACTCAATATATGAGTTCCCAGTCTGATCAACAAAAGCTCCAACAGCATCCTCAGAAAGCTTCCCAATGTTGCACTGCAACAGGAAGTAGAGGGAGGCAGAAGACCCTCATCTAGCGGAAGGGCAGGAAGGAAGGGACAGCTGAGTGACAGTCACAGGTATAAGACATGATGTTTAAAATGGGTTTCTTCTAAGGGGGTGCCTGGTTAAGCGTGTGCCTTCGGCTCAGGTCATGATCTCGGGGTCCTGGGATCGAGCCCTGTATTGGGCTTCCTGCTCAGTGGGGAGCCTGCTTCTCCCTCTCTCTCTGCCCTTCCCCCGGACTTGTGTTCACATTCTCTGTCTCTCATTCTCTCTCAAATAAATAAATAAAATCTTTTTTTAAAAAATGGATTTCTTCTATTATTACACATTCATTTTTCCAAGTGGAATTTGAACTGCTTTTATGACTATAAAAGTAACACATCTCACCATAAAAAAATTCAAATCAGGAAACGTATAAAGTGGAAACTGAGAAATGACCTGCAAACCCAGTGGCTAGGGGAACCCTGTAAGAATTTGATGTCCTCTCAGACCCTTTCCCTAGTTCCACATCTACCTAGAAATGTAAATATATATATATTTGTCTGTAACTGAAACCGTGAAAAGAAAAAAGAGTTGACTTTATAAAAGCAAGGGGCAGTGGGAACAGCACCCTGCCTTCGGACAAAGCTGCAATCTGTCTCCACCTGTGGAGACGCTCACAGCGCCTGAGCAGGGTATGAAGAAGGAGGGGCCAACAAAGAATCCAGGGTTCTCGCCTAGAGTACCCTGTTCTCCAGCTATGGAAGGACGTCAGCAGAGGTGAGAGGTGGGGGACCAAGGGCCACCAGGAGGAGTGGGTTCCAACCTCACCTCGAGGCCTGGTCCCGATGCCTGCAGGTTCACAACATCAACCTGCAGGTGTGGGGGAGTGGTCCGAAACCTTTCTGGGGTCTCCGAGAACTCCAAGGACTATCAGGGTGCAGACCCCCTTCCCGAGGTAAAGCTGGTGCTACAGAGCTGCAGGCAAGGAGTCAGGGCTGGACACGAGGAAGTCCCACCTCAACCAAGAGACTAAGGGAGCTTCATCTCTTAAGTCTCCTTTTCTGACTTATAGAGCTCAAAGCTTCCAAGAGGCCCAAACAGGACCCAGCAAGAAAACAGGGAGGCCACTCACCTAGAAACTAGCAGGGCTGGTCTCTTTAGCAGATAGAAAATCTCTTGGTAAAATGCCCTGAGATCCTACCCTGTCTCTTATATCTCCACATCACAGACCTATTCTTTTGTTCTAAGAATAGTGTTCAGTTCATGCACAAGAGGTGTTCCTAGAAAGCAGAGCAGAAGTCTGTAATTGGTAAGCTTATTTACTATGGGAGCCTACTACTTAAAGGAACCCTCCTAAAGAGAAGAACCTCCATACATCCAAGAATCATACTGTCATTGATATACCTTTGGGAAAACGCTGGTTTTCAAATACCAGGCTCTCTGAAAGCCAAGTGCACCTCTAATATGCACCATTACTTCCTTCATTTCTCTAACATAGCTCTGAGTTGTTGACACCACAGCATCACAGATTCAGCAACTAAGTTACAATAACTTTGTTCATGATTTGGCAAAAGTTAAAGCCAAGATTCCAGATGCTCCTTTAGCAGAAGTCAAATTAGACTGGGCTCAATGAAGAAGCAAACTGTTTTTGCACCAATACATATGTGTTCACAGATGAAGAAAGAAAAGTCAGCTTTCACCTCTTAATAGAAGCTACATACACAGTCTTAAAGCAAAATCGGCCTTAGCTTCAGCATGAAGATGTTTTTAATAGATTCAGGCTTAATTCTGCTTTGCACGGATCTAAAGCCTTGTCCAGCAGCAAAAGTGGTGATGGAACTGAAGATGGCCCTTATTGCTCACCTGGCCACGGCTGCCTGTCTGACTGTGGAGGAGACCCCAGAGGAGAGCCAAGGAATCTATCACTGCAGTGGCAGGCTAGCTGGGCCAGGCCCCCAGGCTGGGGCAATCAACCAACACCCTACTGGACCAATCAGCCCTTGCTCTGCCTCTGAGCAAAGGACACACAACAGGCTTGCCTGTGAAAAAACCTTCCACAGCAGCTAATGCATCTAAAGCCAGCTCCATACCCGGAATACGGATGGAAACAATTCAAACACCCCAGCGGGTCGTGGAAATTTTCCTTGTAAAAAGAAGGAAAATAGAGGATTATCTTTAAGAAAAGGGGGGGGGGTCACCTGGGTGGCTCCATCGGTGAAGTGTCTAACTCTTGATTTCGGCTTGGGTCATGATCTCAGGGTCATGAGATCGAGCCCCACATGAGATCGAGCCCCACATGAGATCGAGCCCCACATCAGGCTCCATGCTCAGTGCAGAGTCCGCTACATTTTTATACGCAGGTCAAGAAAGCAACTTTAAGTGTTTACAGAGAATACAAAAGCACTTGGCTTGCCTGAGTTTACTTTCATTTCAAAGTTCTCATCAGACTTGCCAAATCCTGGAAAACCAAGGTGTGAGGTCATCTCAGTATTTAGGGCTGTTCAGAGACAGACTTGTTGGCAGGATTTAGAGACTGGCCAGGTACTCCCTCCTCAGATGCCTGGGTCCACGCTGCCCACCACCACCCTGCTAACCTTACAAAACACCCTTTTCGTCATGTCATTCCCCAGGGTAAGATCCACAAAGATTTGCTGTGGAAACAAGTTCAAACTCCTCTGACAAAGGGACTAGATGGGGAGGTCAGAAGACAGCAGTGTCCCACATCACCCTGGGGCCCTGCAAAGGCCCTTGCCCAGTCTCCTGGGACACCCTCAGGGTATCAGGAAATAAAGGGGCCAGCCAGGGCCGTGGGCTGGGTGACAGTGTTGTGTTCTAAATTGACCAAACGTGCAGAAAGCAAAAACCAAAAGCGGACATAATCAGGATTCAGAAAGGTTTGGGGTTTTGTGTGGCTGAGCGATAAATGATGTTGTTCTTGTGACAAAACATGCTGGATACCAACCTGGGGATCGAGGGGAAAGAGTGAGGACCAAGCCAGGACATGGTGAGGGAGGGAAAGAGAGATGACCAATGGAAAACCACTCAAGAATAAAAGGGTTAGCTTCACCCTGGAGACAAAAGAGCTCTGTCGATCTAACATAACCAGTGCAAGAAGTATGGGGCCAAGTCATGGATGTTCTGGATGGGCATCAGAATTCAAGCAATCAAATCCAGCGGTTCTCTGCAAAAGGGATTCCCTGGGCCAGGTGGGGGAGGGCGATTGGAAATCCAACACCTTGGGCTCAGAATTTAAGGCCAGGAGAGACCAGGTATGGCATGAGTGAGCTCAAAGGAGAACCAAAATTCAACTGGGAAGAGGCAAGGAGGAGCAACCCGACTAGCGTGAGAGTGTCAAAAGGCAAATCTACGGCGGATTTCTCATACACCTGTCCTACCAGAGCTGAACAGGATGGAATACCAGGTATGTACCAGGCACAGAGGAATCCTTGGAAGCAAAGTCAGGGAAGAACCTAAAAGGAGCCAGGAAACAGGCCCCCTATCAGATGGC